CCCAGGTGCCCGTGGTTGCAGGCCTCGTGCAGCGGCGTCCAGCCGCAGTAGTCGCGCGGGTTCAGCGGGTGTCCCTGCGGCGTTGGGGTGACGCAGGGCGTCAGGCGCGCCCGTCGCGGTGGCACCCCGGCGGTGGCGGCGGCACCCACCTGCTTCACCAGCAGCTGCGCCCGCCGCAGGTCGCCCTCGATGCACGCGCGGTGCAGCGGCGTCTCGCCCCGCTCGTTGCGCCGGTTCCACTGGCGACACGAGGCGCAGCCCGTGGGTCCTGGCACCCCACGGGGACGCCCGCCCGCGTGGGGACACCCAGGGGTGCCCACCCGCGTGGGGACACCCAGGGGCGCCCATCCGCATGGGGACAACGGGGCCCGGACGCTGCGCTCGGGCACCCACCTTGTTGCTGCGCCGGCGGCCGGGGACGCTCTTGTTGTAGCCTTCGAGCTCGTCCTCCTCCTCCTCCTCCTCTGCAAGGAGCTGCCGTGAGAATCCGGGGTGGCACCGGCACCCTCGGGGACCCCCTGCCCCTCACCGCTCGCCGACAGCTCCAGGTCGCTCTCGCCGAGGCCTTCGCTGCTCTCCAGCTCCTCCTCTTCCTCGTCATCGTCCTCCTCCTCCTCCTCGGCGGCGCCGTCTCCCGCCAGCTCCCGCAGCCGGGCCAGGGTGGCGGGCGCCTCGGCGCTGCCGTCGCGCTGCTGCAGCGCGTGCAGGCGCCGCAGGACCTGCCGCTGCAGGGGAGGCGGCGGTCAGCTCGCTGCGGTGCCCGTGCATCCCAAGGGAGCCACCCCGGTGCCCGGTGCATGCCAGGGGAGCCATCCCGGAGCCCCATGCATGCCAAGGGAGACATCCCAGTGCCCCGTGCATCCCAAGGGAGCCACCCCGGTGCCCGGTGCATGCCAGGGGAGCCATCCCGGAGCCCCATGCATCCCAAGGGAGACATCCCGGTGCCCGGTGCCTGCCGAGGGAGGCGTCCCAGTGCCCCATGCACACTGAGGGAGCTGTCCCAGTGCCCCGTGTGGGCCAAGGAAACCATCCTGGTGCCCCGCGCATCCCAAGGGAGCCATCCCGGTGCCCCGTGCACACCAAGGGAGCCCCATCCCGGTGCCCTGTGCATGCCAAGGGAGTCATCCCGGCGCCCCATGCATCCCAAGGGAGCCATCCCGGCGCCCCATGCATCCCAAGGGAGCCCCATCCCAGTGCCCCGTGCACGGCAAGGGAGCCATCCCGGTGCCCCATGCACAATGAGGGAGCCGTCCCAGTGCCCCGTGCGTGCCAAAGGTGCCGTCCCGGTGCCCGCTATGTCCCAAGGGAGCCATCCTGGTGCCCCGCTATGTCCCAAGGGAGCCCCATCCCAGTGCCCCGTGCACGGCAAGGGAGCCATCCCGGTGCCTGGTGAATGCCAAGGGAGCCATCCCAGTGCCCCATGTATGCCAGGGGAGTCATCCTGGTGCCCCGCGCATCCCAAGGGAGCCATCCTGGTGTCCCGTGCACACCAAGGGATCCTCGTCCCGGTGCCCCATGCACAACAAGGGAGCTGTCCCGGTGCCCAGTGCATGCCAAGGGAGCGGTCCCAGTGCCCCATGCACAACAAGGGAGCCATCCCGGTGCCCGGTGCATGCCAAGGGATCCCCGTCCCGGTGCCCAGTGCATGCCAAGGGAGCGGTCCT